CTGCTGAAGCATCATCTGCTTCTCAAGGGACGCTGCAAAATAGAGACGGAACCGCTGCTCGGTGAGGTGCGCTGGCCAGCTGCCCACCTCACGCAGGGGACTAACGAGCCAAGTGACAACTTACTGTGGCTAATTGGAAGTGCTGCCCATCGCAGCAATTTGGGAGGAGTATTCCCTTCCCCAAGGTTTACACCAGGATTTTGATGGTGTTTTGGCCTTTCTGACGAGAGCAAGCCAACTGCTACGGGTCACAGCTCTCCTGGCAGGATGACTGAAAGGCCACCCTACAGCTCGCCTTGATTGTCGGGGATGCAACTCCAGGTGCGTTTTGCACTTATTCGATCATATTTTTCCCCAGAGACACTGTCAAGGGGTGGTGGACAGGAGAAGAATGGAGCTTCTTTCAAATTGTTTCTTTCAACCATTTTAGAGGTTGCGATTTGATCAAGGACTGGAGCAAGACGTAGAGCCAAAAGCAGCAGTTCACTGGCGTTGTCCATTCTTCACCCTTCCCCAGGCCTTTCTATGTAGCTGGGGAGGATTTTGTTGCCTTAAACTCGGAATTACTCTTTCAGTTTGACAAATCAGGGCAGGTCAAATTGAGGGAGATTTGCATGGTAAGTGGTTCAGACAGAATTTATCACCCATTTAGGGGTGCAGCCTTTGACTTAAATATTTGTATGTCAAGATTAGTTCCTCTGCAAGCTAAAATTGTCTGGAAAATAGAGTCTCAAAGGCGACGCCGCCCCTGAGAGGCAGCAAAGTTAAACCTCGAGCTCTTTGGTGTTGCAGGAGATGTTATTTCCCAGCGTCCTGGTTTGAGAGCACCAGGGTGAAGGTTCTCTGGAGCTCCTGGCACCAGTGGCCATCAGTGGCAGAGGGGCACAGCTGTGCCTATGGGGACGAGAGGGTGAGTCAGGTGACCCAAATGGACCAGTCGCAGTGTCCCTTCCCATGGTGCTCCATATAAAAGGGCCCTAAGAGGAGGTCTGGGCTCTTTAATGCTGCTGTGCTGGAAGGATTGCCATCACTCTTCAGCCTCCCTCCTGTGCTGGAGGTTGTCTTCCCCTCACCCCAGGTGGGAGCAGCACAGCTCCTTTTTGGTTTCTTTTGGACTGTCATCAGGACTCTGGGCTCAGATGTTCCCATATGCTGCCAAGTCCAGTCTGGGACTTTTTCTTTCTGCTCAGGATCTGGAAGATGTGGGTCCTGTATTAACATATTCTCTTGTATGGGGGATCACAGAGAGCATCTGTCAAATTTCAGTGGCAAGTCTAAGACTTAAACTTCAACAGATTTATTGGCGCCCAGCGTGGGGCAACTGAACCAATTACATACTTCATAGTTTCATAAACTCTAGTTTAATATTTGCATATTTAATTTTTTGTTTGAGAGGTTGGAAAAAAGTCAGTGGCCATCGATACGGTTCGAAGTGAAATATTATACTGTGTCCTTAGAGACTTCGGATTGTTGCTCGCTAATCTATCATATGTTTTATTGTATTATCTAGGCCTTTTTAGTGTGGTTTTACGTCTTTTTGGTCAGGGGTATTGGGCAAAGGGCATCGTTCTTCTGCTATGTTTAACTCCACTCATCTATTCTGGAATAAGCTGAAAGGTGGCTTTACCTGACCCCCTCAGGCACTGTTTGCTAAGCCTTAATGTGAATTATACTCTAAGTTTTCTCATGGAAAACTATACTTTGCTTCCTTCCCCCAAACTGGCTCCATCAGGGAGTCTTGGAAATTGTTCTCCAAGTTTCAGTTTGCTAACTTTATTGGTGATTATCACTAATATGCTGCAGGAGTGGTTTGCTATTAGCATGCATAGGTTTAGGTGTAGCATAACAAGCAATGCCACCACTCTGAGTCCTACAGCAACCAGCAGCAAAAACCAGAATGTGAATCCTGTTTCCCCCTTGTGTCACAGGAAAAGAGAGCGCAATAACTTGGAAACCCTGGCCCTTCTTTCCATTCTTGCTCAAGCAAAACAGCAAAACCTTTCTGCTTTCTTTTTGATGCTGGAAATAAATACATCATGCTTCCAAGCTGTGACTTGGCGTGTTGCTAAATCCACTTGGGCAGTAGTGAAAAATGAAGAGATGTCTCTGAATGAGCCTGCCGAGGGGCCGACAGCTGATCCCACCCGGCACGAGCATGATCTTTAACTTGGTCTGTACAGAGTCTGATGAGAGGTGTCTCTGCCTTGTTTTACCAGATTCCCTGATTGTGGTGGCCGATCGGATTGATGGACCGTACAATGTAGATGCTGTAATAGGGACCATTCACATGAGGATCTCTGAAGCTATTTCTAACTTGCAAGAAAACAAAGATTCGATCACAGCCAAGGTAAGAAAGAGCCTGGACCTGGCTGAGGTAACTGCCAGGACCAAATGGGTCTTTGCTCGATATTCAACTGAACAAGAGACGAAAGATGAAAGAGATCAGAGCTCTGGGTCCATGGGGTGGAACTGCTTATGCAGCGACGGTGGGAGGCAGGATGCCGGTTGTTGGCAGGTGCCTCCGTGTCTGAAGAATCCTGCAGTATTTTGGCTGAGCTGAGGCGTTTGCAGGAAGCACAGGGTCCCTAGTGACAGGAGGCAGCTGCTTTAACCTGCCCCGGGGTGATGTTGTGCAGCGGAAACGCGGGGCTCTTGGGCTGTAACAGTGGGACAGAGCAGCAACGTGGCAGTCTGTCTGCAGAGTGTAGAACAGGCTGTCCTGGTGCTCACCTCTCTTCCAAGAACTGTATCATGAAGCTCTTTTCTGTCACTCTTCTATTTTTAGTGTATGTATCCACTTCGCTGCAGTCAGCCCTGTAGCTGCAGGTAGGAGAAGCTTTGGGAACAAAACCAGCCCTCCAGGGCTTCTGCTTTTTGCCCAGACATTCCCTGAGTCCTGCAGCCATCCCACAGTTAGGGCATAGATGCAGATGAGCTTCTTTTGGATTTTGTTGGGGGTTTTTTCGATGCAGGGGTGAGCTTTGTAGACTAGGGTTAATGGTTGGACTCAGTGATCCCAAGGGTCTTTTCCAACCGGAATGATTCTATGAAAGGAGGGGGGCAGGTCCTAATCAGATCTTGGAGAAGGGAAGGCCTGGAAGTATTGATTAGCCAAGCAAGAATTCACTGGCACAGGTCAAAGCACTAACAGCAGAGTGAATCAAAGTACCTGTTTAGGTTTCTTTTCTGACATCAAAGGCCATATACTTTCTTCCCTTGTTAGGTGAGACTGAGGTTGTCCACATAAACGCAAGCCTACGATGTGGGAAAACATGACATCATCTGCAAAGAAAGGTGTTTCTCAGGGGCGTATAGTAAATTTAGTAAAAGGAAAAGGAGTAAATAGTCTTAACTGGTGTTCAACTGGAGCAACCAAGCATGTCTGATAAGCTTCTCAGTGTGATCTGGCGACCAGGAGGACATGGCAGTCTTTGCTGGTGGCACTGATAGCAGAGGTCAGGAGCTGCACATGGCTGCAGCTCTAAGCTCTTTTTTTTTTTTTTGTGACAAAGTGATCGGGTAAGGATATTGTCACCAAAGGAGCTCGGGGCTGGCCCAGTCCAGAGTCTTCTCTCCCAGGGCTGAGGGCAGCAGGCTTGGACTCCAGCTGAGGGCTTCATCCATCACCAGCCTAGAGCCAGGGCACTGCCTGCCATTTGTGAGAAGAGCCAGAAATGGCCCTTGGATCCAGTGACACCCTCGGCCATGGGTTCTCCTGGGATCTCGGGGAAAACTTCTGGAAAGAAACACTTTGGGTTCTGAGCCCTGTGTTCCCTGCACCACAGAGCACTCTCGCTGCTTTCCCACGCTCCTCGTAGCTCCCTGAAGCTCTCTGATGGATTTCAGGCGGCAGGAGCTAGCAAAGGTTGCAAACACCTGTTTGCTGTCACTGTGCAGGGGACTATTGATCACCTCAGCCTGCAGAACATGTGTTCTCTCCGTTGGTAATGGGTGTTGCTCACCTAAAGCCTTTGGGCTGTCAAGAGGATTGCCTTGGTACCATGCCGTGCTGGAGCTGCTGCAAGAGCCCCTGGTTGGACAAGATGATCTTTTGAGGTCCCTTCCAACCCCTAACGTGATTCTGTGGTCCTGGACACCTCCCAGGGCTTTTACCTCCTGAAGGAGTTGTCTCCTGCTAACAGCAATAGGCCAATAAGAAAGATGCAGCAGCGAAACTGAGTCGATTTTATTTTGGTAGAACCAAGATGAAAATGCTCTACGTACAGTTTTCAAGGTGGGGCTTTTAGCACGGAGCAAAGGAGGACAGATGAACGAATCGGCTTGGTGCTGAGCTGCCAGAGTCGTTGGGTTCATCTGGTGAGCAGGAGAGTGCGGGGGGCTGAATGTCCCTCAGACACACCGCTGAGAGCCACTGTCACCAAAGGGACTCTTGTCTAGATGAGGACTTTGCTGCTGGCTGTCAGAATCCACTAGCAGGAGCTGCCTCAGCAGTGCTCCCCTCTGAGCTCTGGATTTCTCTGCTCTGAGGGGACACCGGGCAAAGTCAAATTTATTGATCCTGACAGCACCTTGGTAACCACAGCAAGCTTGGAGCCATCTTTTCAAATCAGATGACTTCCTTCGTAAAGGCTGGTGTTTCCTGAATCAAACTGACAGTGCAAAGGCCCTGCTGACCTTTGATGCATCGTTAAACCGGGCTGTCCGAGCTCTCCTTCCACCAGCCACAGTGGAGCTCGGCTGCCTGCACAGAGGTGTCCTCGCCTGGACTGGTCATGCAGAGACTGGGAGAAAGAGGCACTTCCAGGACATCCATTTTCTCTTCCTAGAGGCAAAGTCTGAAGACTTGTACCTTCAAAGTACCTCTGCTTTTCTTCAGCTACGTCCCGCACCTGAGCAGGTGGTTAGGATGACAGGGCATACACAAAGTTAGCAGGTAAATCAGTTTGGCTTCCTCATTTGCCCCAGAAACACCTGACCTGACAGATTGGGACATACCTACTGCTTTTCCACTCCCCTGGTCAGAGGGAGCATTTCTTTGCTGGGTGTGGGTGCTGACTGCCAGAGTCAATGGGGTAGTCCCACCCCACTCTGTTGTCCAAACCAGTGACGCCCACCTCTAAGTCCACACCACTGCTTACAATGAGTGTGAGCAACTCCCATCCCATTCTTCCCAGAATTTTGTTTTTCAGTCGGAACAGGAACAGATAAAATCTCTGGAAATCATTTAGTGTCAACATTGGTGACTCATCTGAAAACATGTGTTAATTTTGTGTAAGTGCTGAGCATTTTGCTTGATAACAGTAACCAAAACCAGTTACTGCTGAAAACACAGCTTGGCACAAGAGTGACCTGACCAGAAGCTAAGCAGAATCTTGGCCATCTTGCAGGTATATAAACATAAATAAGGAAAAAAAAAAATCACTGTGCAGTGCTACTTAATTAAGAAAATAGCGTCAAAACATAGACTAGAGAGTTTGGTTTGTTTTTCAGGTTTTCCAAGGCTGTGGAAACCCTAAAATCAGCATAAAAGGCTCCAGCAGTGAGGACAAGAAAAGGACAAGGAAGGTGGCCTTGGAAGCAAAATCCTCTGCGCAAGCACTGGAGATGCTGGTGAGTTTGCTTCTGATGCTCCCTCCGTGCCGGGGTGCCAGGGCAGGGGTGCTGGGAGCCCCTGGAGCACCAGGAGCCCCAGGATCCTGGCCAGCACCGCACCGGGTCCTACAGATCAGAGCAAACCACTCCACTGGCTGCTGAGTCGCCTCGACTGGCGAGCCTGAAGAAGATCAGATCGGCGAGTGCTGGCGTCACCTCAAGAGATCTGATCTTGCCTCAGGCGCAGGGTCAGGGACTGGGTTGCTGATAACCAGATTCTCGGGGCTTTGGTGCCAAACTTATCTGAAGAGGCTCCTTGCCATTGGTGTCGTTCGGTCTCAGGCAGTCCAGCCCGGATACTGGGGCCAGAGGTCCTTCTGCGTGGAGACTTTGGGTTGTGAGCTCTGGGATCTGCCATCATCTCATGTTTCCGAGGCTCCTCGCTCACCTACGTTGCTTGTCCCACCCTGGCCAAGCTCTTCTGGCTGCCACCAAGGCTGCTTCTCAGCATTGGCTCATGGCCCAGAAGATGATTTTCTATTGATTAATATTAGGGTACCAGAACACTCCTTAGCATATAACCTTGTGTGCTTGGGTTGGTGGTTGGTCTTTAGGGGAAGGCTGGTGACACTTCCTTGTCTGTATAAAAACAGGCTTTTTGATGGAAAAAAAAAAAAAAAAAAGACAGTATCTTTGTCCTTTCCACAGCCCTGGGGTGCCCCAGAGCTCTCCTGGCTCTGACCATCCCCTTTGTTTACAGGTTTTAGATGCCAAAGGGAATCTGACAGCTCTCAAGACTTACTGGATCACCCTGCCTGGCAGCCTGTGCAGCAAAAAAGTAATGGCCAGCTCAGCGACAGATGACAAATGTTGGAACGGGATGACCAAGGGCAGGTATGGAAAGGGTCAGGGTGCTAATACAGCACCAGTCTGGGGTGAGAGAGGGAGGGTCTGATAAAAGGCACTTAGACATCATCTCAGCCAGCCCCACTTGTTCAAACTGAACCAAAAGGTCTGTCCCCGTCCACAGAAATGCTGCTTTTCCTGAAAAACGAGTGCCTGGGGAATGTCAAGCCTGTTGCCATTTTGCTGTGTGGCAGAGGGTTAAGCATTGAAATCCATTCTTCATGAAATAACTGTGTCGTTTTGTACCGACAAAGCAGTTTTGCAATTCCACGTGCGCTCAGAAGGCAGAAGGGCTGGATTTACCTCAAAACTCCAGAGCCACTGATGAGTATTGTATATGTGTGTTTCTATTGCTTTGAAATGCTGTTCATGAGAGGAAGCACTCAGGTGACACCAAAGAGCCACAGAAACACCTCCCACCCGTGGCTGATGGTTAAAGCGTTAGGGTTAGGGGAAGAGATTGGCACACAACCTTCTCTGCTCCTCTCCACAGACTTGCCACGCTGGTCCAGCCTGGAGCCGGCACCTTCAGTTCTTCCATATTTCACATCCTTGCCACAGATCTGCAGGAGCAGGTGGGAGGGAGCAGCACAGCTCCGAGTGCTGGTTGACAGCTCCTGGTTCACTGAAGCTTCCCTGGTGGCCTGTCTGGTTTTATTGAGCTGAGGGCATTCAGTCATTGCAGGGTGTCAATCCCCGCAGGGTTTAACCAGGGCAGGGATGAAGGTGCTCCTCAGCCATCCAGAGAGTTGGCTGCCTCACAGCAAACACCAGCATAAGGCGGCCGTTCGACAAGCCAACACCACCGACTACAGTTTCTCTGGGGTTTGGATTATCACCGGTGTCTGGAACGGGGAAAGCTTAGCTGGGGTGGGAGACATCTAAACCTGTCGCCTTCCTTCGCAGTTACCTGCCCGAAGTGATGGGAGATGGCTTAGCTAACCAGATCAACAACCCGGAGGTGGAGGTGGACATCACCAAGCCAGACATGACCATTCGCCAGCAAATCATGCAGCTAAAGATCATGACAAACCGGCTGGGCAACGCTAACATCGGCAACGACGTGGATTTCCAAGATGCAAGTGAGTTTAGCAGAGCCGGGGAGGCGAGAGGGGCTGAGCAGTCGGGCTGGGCAGCCTGCAGATCCCGTGCAGATCCCGTGCAGATCCCGTGCAGATCCTGTGCAGATCCTGCAGCTGGGCCCAGCACCACAGAGGAGTTGTGGTGACTTGGCTTTTGGCTCTGGGCTGCAGAGGGTCTGTCTGAGCACAACCGACTTGCTGCGGGGTGGCAGTCCCAGCCCAGCCCTGCTGATGGGAGCACTGCTCCCGTCTCCTCCAGAGGTTTCCAGCAGTGGTGGTTAAAATTGGCTGGAGATCAGATATGGGCTTGGATCCCACAGTGGGATGCAAAGAGAAGGAGGTGCTCTCTTGGAGGGTTGCAGCAAGGGGAAGGCTCACCCCACGTTTGTCTCTGCGCAGGTGACGACATGAGCGGCTCCGGGAGCGGTGACAGCTGTCCTGACGACGTCTGTGGCAAAAGACTTTCTAAGAGCCCCAGCACCAGGCAGCCAGAAACGCACGCAATTCCTAAGCAGTCTGGACACGGCGTCAATGGGGCCGACAGCAGATCTTTGCCTTCTGCCTTCCTTCTCCTCCTTTCGGTGGCTTTCATTGCCGCGCAGCACTTGTGCCGGTAACTCGCTAGCACAGCCAGGAAAGAGACTGTGGCCGAGGGCTTCACTTTGCCAAAACCAACCAACCAACCAAAGGACATATTTAATTCACCTTGGCAAAAAAAAAAAAATGAAAAAGAAAAAAAAAAGAAGGGGAGGAGAAAAAGGTTTCAGTTGTTTGCTATTTCTGGCAGTGCTCGAGCTGTTTTCTTCTTTCTTGGTCTTTTCCCCAATGCTGGGCCCTTCTTTCCGTACCTCATCGTTTTACTTTTGTTATTGCCACCAACTGGCTCTCAGGGCTGAATCGAGCCTTTGCAGAGAGGCCTCTGGCGGGGGGAACCTGGCCAGCCCCTCCCAGGGCAGCTCTTCTGCTGCCTCCAGTGGAATATGCAATTGCCCTGATCTTACCAACCCGGCCGCTGGCCGGAGCGCTGGTGACCACGACGGTGCTGAGAGCGACGCCACATCGTAATGCGGAGAGACTGCGGTCGTTGGCGCCCCTCCAGTGCTGCAGTTCAGAGGCTCTTTTGGGTTTTTTTCCCCTCTGTACTCGCCAGGCAGGCGGAGACGGCCCTTCGCTTCCAGTGGCGTGTGTAGGAGCGTGAGCAGGTTTGGTGGGTTGGAACAGTTGGCTGTTGGACCCAAAAAACGCAGAACTCGCTTTTTCTTTGGAAAAAGTCACAGGTGGGTTTCTTGACTAGAGCTCGTAGCTGACGACAATTTGAAATGTAGGTCTCCTACATCTAAGTGACTGGGAATGAGTGTTAGGGGTTGGGGTTCGGGGTATTTTTTTCTTTGCATGCTAGTTGGAAAGCCATTTTTTACCCAATAATGGTCCAATTTGTACCTGCAGTGCAGTACCGTCGCAGGTAACAGAGAGATGAAAACACGCACAGTGGGATTTTCCCCTTGACAGACAGTTCTGTTGCTTCCTCCTCCTCTGGCCCCAGCCATAGAAGGGAATCCCTTTTATTTTTGTTTATTTTTTTTTTTATAAGAAAGACCGGGGGCTTTTTACTAACTGGAGCATTGCGACTGGTTGTGAGAACTCGCAGCAGGCACATGTGGGATTGACTCCCTGCCAGCAGCTGCCTTGGGGCAGAGGGGCTGGTAGCAACTAGCCCTGAGCAATCTCCCCCAGGAGACTGACTCAAGGTGGCACCTGTTGGGGGCATGTGAGGAAGGGACACGTCTTGTTTGGGATATTCTTTTTTTCTTCTGGTGTTCATTCCTGTTGCATTGTAGGTTTAAGTGAATTCCTGCTTCCCCTGTCTCTTCCCTAACCGCTGCAGGGACAGGGTGAGGCAGCAGGTCAGACGCCCGTTTTGGCTCAGGGAAGAGCCAGGTTCGCCTTCTGCCACCCCTGTCCCACCACACTCCAGCCTCCGGGTCACGCTGGTGGCTGCCCTAACACCAGAGTGCTTGGTGGGGTGGACTCTGTGTTGGGTTTTGAGACTGGGGGTGGTTGGTGGAAGATATAAATATCCTGATGTAGCTGTAGGAGTGTCTGTGGTTGTAGGGCTGTGTGCTTCGGGGGCTTCCAGAAGGATGCTTCTGTACCTGGCAGGTACGGCAAGCGCCAGCTGGAGGTGTAGGTTTAGCAAGTGTTAGAGATACAACACAGTCGCTGTGACTGGTTGGGCCAAGAGCACACCCAGGGGTTGGGCTTCATTCGTACGGGGTTAGGTTTAAGTTTCAAACGTGTTTGTACTGCGGCTGGGAGGGAGGGCAGGTGTGTCTCCATCATCTCCTTACTTTACTGGTCTGCACAGCAAATGTTTGAGCATCCCCTGTTTCTCTGCTGTCCTGCCACAGGACACGTGTCTTTGGGCTGAGCAAACACCATGGGGTTGGGATTTGGCTGTTTTATAAGAAAGGGGGGGGAAAAAAAACAAAACACAAAAACATTTTTAATATTAGCAGTTTCTAGAATGTGCAATTCAAGGGAAAACGAGAAAGTGAGCAAGGTAACACTGAAAGCCAGCACTGGCTGGTGTGGGGGGAGCTTGTCACCTGCCCTCCCCAGCACAGGGTCCTACCTGGGCTAGGTCGTGATGCAGACCAGTGGCTCAACGGAGGCAGAGGTTTTAGCCAACTTTGACTGGCTTCTCCAAGTCACAGTGACTAAAGTTCCCAATTTGGTGTCTCTTCTGCCCTGTACGGTTAAAACTGATCTAACCTGGTGGGGTTTCAAAAATGAAAGCCAGGATGCTAGATGCTGGCTAAAGGACCGACAACGCCGCCAGACCCATCAGAACCCAGGACTGGATATGTACAGGTCATGGATTGAAACAGATTTATTTACTTCTAGAAATATGCCAAGTTCCATGCTACTTTTACAGTTCTATCGAGTTTCTGTCTTTTTTTTTTTTTTTAACCAGAATTGCCAATACAAATTTAGCCTTCAGTTAGAGAAACCCTCACAACCAATCCTGTAGAAACTTTACATTCAAAGCAAAAAGAAACGGGGTGGGGAGAGGGGAGGGAAGGAGGCTTGAAAACATTATACGCTCTTCAAAACTTGGTTGGGTTGGAGTTTTAACACATGGATGCCAAGGTCAATGTTTTGCTTTGCAGAAGGGGAGATCGAAAGGCAAGTCCTTGTCATTTCCACCTCTGGGCAGTCAGTGCTTGCTGTCAGCCTGTTACCCTCAAAAGCTTCTTACGGGCCCCAAGGGGAACACAACTTAAAGGTGAAGCCAATAATTTACTGATTGACCGGTTAATACTTTAACGATTTAATAGCCCACATTATTGGTCCTGTTACAGCAACAAAACCTGACGGTTTCAAATTAATAAAGCAAAGCCTCAAGGATGCTGTAAAAACTGTTATGCAGGAGAAGCCCTTCCTGATGCCTTCTACTTTTGCCTGGGGTTGAGCTCCCACTTCAGCGTCCCTCCAAGCCCCAAGGACCATGAATTTGGTCCTTCTGGAGCCGGGCTGGGTGGTGTTGTTGTTGCCGTTAGGTGTGATGTTGATGTGGATGCTTCCTGCCTCCTCAGCCCTGCGTCCGCTCAGGTGTGGTCTGTCCCTTCACGCAGCTGCTTTTTGTGGGTTCCTGCTCATTCCTTTGGTTTTGTTTTTTTAATTTTTGTCCTGTTCCCTTCGTTGCCTTGAAGGGGTTTCCCTCAGCTTGCTGCAGTTTGGTGGCGCAAGGCTGCGTTTGGCCACATCACCTTCCAGCAGGGAGACAAAACAGCCGAGTGCCCCCAGGAGAGATCGACTCGGTATCGCTCTAAACTAAAGTAAACCCAAAGCCAAACCGTAGTTGCCCAATGGCTGGACAACCCCTGGCATGGCTCAACAAGCTGAAGGCGTCCCAGGTCCAGGCAAACCCTGAGCCTGTGCTCAGGCCAGCTCAGGACCCGGGGTCTTTCAGTACTTAAAAATGACATTTCTTGGGCAGTCGCCTGCTCAAAACCGTCGTGACAAACCCCCTGAGCCCTGCAGCCGGGCGGGCGAGGGGCTTCTGGCTGCCCCAGGGTGGGTACATGAAGGGGGAGCTCCAAGGAACAGGGGAGGAACATCTGCTTCGGCGTTAGTGAGGGGAGAGTTCATGGTTTGAAAAGGCCTCGTGCTTCACAGGGATGCCAAGGGCGATGGTGATCTGGGAAAAAAAAATATTAACAAGGATGCCTTTGTTAATTCTGGGGAGAACCAGGAACAGTGGATTTCCAAGTGTCTCTGTCTTTCAGCCTGCTCTGGTGCCATGCCATGTATGTTTTAACTAAGGGCGAGGGTCTCAAAAGGCTTTGAGAGCACAGCTGCTTATCATTTACAATTGACAAACTGCCTGTTGTTTTCTGGTGGGCTTGGTAGGGGCTAAGGTGCAGCAAAGTATCTAAAGTCGACCTTTGCTTTAAACAGATGCATTTCTATCTGCAGGAGTAAGACTTATTTCACTTATTGGCATAGCTGGACAGTTACCTATTTCTTTCTGTTACCAAGGTACTTGTAACTCTCTTGCACTGTTTATCTAAAGTTGAAATATGTTCTTTGAATCCTTGTATAAATAAAAAGGCTGGAGACTTAAATCTGTATTTACAGGTCAGTTTTATTTCTGCTCCATTTAAGCCAAGTTTGGAGTTTTCTTTCTTTTCGCTTGTCAAGGCAGAGATAAAAACGCCGGGTCAGGAGTCAGGAGGGATGAAAAAAAATGCTTTCAGGCACACAGTTTGTAATGGATGTTGGTGCTACAGGTTTGCCTGCATTCAACAGGAACAACCAGAACGGCTGTGAAACAAGGTGAACCCAACTTTAGTCATCGAAGCAAGTGTGCCAAACGGTCTCTCTCACATATAAATGCACAGAAAGTCACGGCATAGTAATTTTGGTAATTTTTGTATTCGGCATCACAAAGCGTTGTGCTTGTTATTTACCACGGCCTTGTACTAGCGCGGCTGTTGGTGGGGCTAAGAGCAAGCGAAGCCGATCGCTGGGGCTGTCGCAGGGACGTGGATGTTTCACCGTGCCTGAGCCTGAACTGATGCAGCAGAAAGGTTTGTGTCCCAGCTCTGCCCTGTGGGCTCCCAGAGGTGGGTGAGTGCAGGAGTCAAGGTAATGTGTTGAAAGCCACTCATGAAGCATCTAAGAGAGCCTTGGTAACTGGAAACATCTAAAAGTGTAGCTATCTGCCTGGGAGCAAATCTCACTTAAATTTAATAAATTGAGTGATTCCCTTGAGTGAGTTTAGTTTCTTTAATGTCCTGCAGTTACAGCTATTTAGGCACCACATGCACAAATTTATATAAATACAGGCAAGTGCAGAAGCGTTGGACTTTGAGGCAAAGTTGTTTGCAGACTCGTCACCTCCTTTGCTTCCTCTCTGTCATAATAATGATCTTAGATAACAACGCCTTACGGCGGGGGGGCTGTATTGAAGCTCTTTGCAAACATCCCTGTTGGTTGGTAAAGCTCAGCCCAGCTCCAGCTTCCCTGCAGCCCCACACAGCCCTGCTTCCCAGAGAAGGGTGGCCTCGGGGGATCCTTCACCTCTGAGAAGGTCACCAGGGCACTTCAGCGGGAGCCGGCATAACTGGGGCTGTTTGCACCGTACCCCAATGGCAGCAGCATCAAGACTAGACAACCTCCAGCAAAATCTGGACTGAGACTGTCGCTGTGCAGCTCAACCAGCTTCTTGCAGAGGAGACAACTGGCCTGGCCGCCAGGAGATGGCAGTTGTGCTTCGCTTAGAGTCGCTCTCCAGGTAACGCTGGCTGCTCCCTCCCTATTTCCTTCTCTGCACCGAGACTTTATAGAGGGCAGGCTGGTGGCAGGGGACAACCTCTCAAGCACGGATGCCCTTCCTCAGGTCAACTGCAGGGAGTAGGGGGGAATAAACATCTGTAGCCTCGTAGCGAGGCATCACAGGTGCAGCAGCAGTGACATTTGCTTGGGCTAAAGTGACAGCAGCGCTGGGGGGGCACTCGGGGGCCTCCCGGACCAGTGCTGGGGTGAGCTGCAGGGAACTGGTTGGACAGTCCCTCCCCAGTAAGTCATCCCAGGCACATCTGGCAGATCCCTGAGCAACCTGCTGGGTTGCTGCTGCCCCTACAGATCAGTGGAGAGTTCCTGCCACATCGACAGTGATGCCACACAAAATAAAGGTCACAGTTTTGGGAACAAGAGCGGCCGTGACAGGAGAATTAGGCACAGTGGGCTGAGTAGCTCAGACACTGGGACACGCAGGGGGAGTTAGTTGTTGGGAGAGGATGTACCGAGCAGCTCGCTTCTCGATACATCAGCCCTTGCTCCTTTTCACAGTGCGGGGAACTGATGCGTGCCCATCGGAGGAGGACAAGCCCAGGCGGTGATTGCAGAAAGGCTCCTCGGCCGATCTGCAACATCAAGGCCTGGGAGTAAGGGTGTGACTTGGAAACATGGAGCTGGGCGAGAGTCAGTGCCAGGGAGGGTCCAAAAATCCTGGAACTTGTGTCTGCAGGAGAACCCAACACTGCTGGGGCAGGCAGCATCAGAGCGCTGCTCTCCTGCTGGGCTTTCTCCTTTCCAGCTGCATGCACCCAGGCTGAACCATGCCTCCTTGGTTGGCAGAACCCTGCTTCAGCCACATGCCCTGTGCCCTTGCGATGGAATCAAAGAGGCTCAAGCCCGGGGCAGCTGAGGTGTGTGCCGAACAGCAGGCAGGGACGCCGTGTTGTTGTGCTCATGCGAAGGAGCCATACCCCTTGCCCTGGGGCTGGCATCTCTCCGTCTGTTACTGACACATGAGGTGTGCAAGGTCGGCTTCCCTTCCCTCTGTAATGTAATAAAAGATCATCCTTGTCCATCAGGGCTGATTCTTTACTCACTGGCATTGCATTTCACATCGGTCCTTTTAGTCCTGCTGCAGTAGTCCAGCTTCACCTTTGTGCCAGCGACAAACATCAGTCACAGGTTGCTTTTTTTTT